CACCATGATTGATTATTGGTAATTTTCTCCAATTATTTCAGATTATTTCTTTGAGATTTAGTAAATCTATTTTTCTTACTTTCTTATTCTTTTATTCCTTTTTTTTTTTTTTCAAAAAATCTTTCTGTGTTATTATTATATTATATGCATTATGTGTTGCGCATTATTATTATTTTTTTTTTATCTTCAACTAACAGAAAAATAAGCATGGTAAAGTAAAAAATAAACAAAAAAATGTTAAAAAAATACATAGGACAAATTTTAAAGAAAAGCAACATTTTCATTAAAATGTTAAAGAAAAGCAAGTTATTAAATTAATTTTAATTTTAAACAATCTTTTTTCTCTATCAAAATTTTAAGAATTTACTATATAGGAAGGGATTTCTGTTTTTTTCTTTTTTAAGAATTGTGTTAAAATGTTTTTCTTGAAAAAATTTAAAATTTCACGAAATAAAATAAATTCTTGATACTGTAAAAATGTCGGACATTTTGGAAACCATTTTGAAGAAGACAGCTTGTGCATTTTTATGAAAATAATAACTTGTGCCGCCATCTGTCGTCAATAGAAGAAAAAATGCCTTATTCTTTTGAGAAATACGAAACCTATTTGGCATTAGTTTACGCATGCGCTCTTTTATAAAGCAATTTCATTATAGGATTTTGAGTATGTATTAAAACTTATTAAAGCTTGTTTAAAACAAGGAAAAATTAATGTAATTAGGAAAAAATTATATTCCATTGTTTGACCTAAAATTCGAAGAAAAACTTATGAAAGGTATCACTAAGTATTTTTGGAAATGAAGAACAAAATTTTGCATTATTAAAATAATTGAAACCATAGACATATTTAACTTTTGTCAATTCATGATCAATACAGTGCATATTTAATTATACTTTTTGTAATTTTAAATCGCAGATTATGAAATAATTTTATTTTATGGAGGAAATAATAAACCAAATAGTGACAGAAAAAGGGCAATTTTCTGAACTAAGAAATTATTATAATTATATAATTCTTTTAAAAAAGATTTTTAAATTTCTTAAAATGTGCTAAATTTGTTACAAAATATATCAATTAATAAACAAGAGATAAATGTAACACAACTTCATTCAATTATTATTTCAGAATTACTTTTTTTCTAAAAATCATTACATAGTTTTCATATAAGCTTTTCTATGTTTCTAAAAAGAAAATTTCTTTATGTATAGTTTTCTTACATTGTTAATACAACGTTAAGACACAAAAAATAATAACAAGACTCAACTCAATTTCATTGTGGATACATTTTTAATTTCTCAATGATATACCATAATTTTCATCAGATTGGTTTCCATTTTATAAAGGAAACTTTACAACCTAAAACGAACTAATTAAAATGAATTATTAAAGAAATATTCTTATTAAATCGTTCTTATACTATTTATTTTTAAAAGTGACAAGTATTCAACATAGTTTCATTTTTTATCATGTTCATCAAATAAAGAAAAAAGGAAATCGAAAAAAAAATTATTATTATTAATGCATATTTAATAATACCCAAGATAATGCTTGCGCTTATATAATTTTTATTCTTTAAATATCAATTAGATTCTCGACAATTCAATAAAATAGAGTTTTTGAAAATATTTGTATTATATTTTAAAGATACAATAGAAAAATGAAGAAAAGAACAAATTTTTCGAAAATTATTTTTCATCCTTCTGGAAATAAGACTTAGTGAAGAAATGAGTTTTTAATTTTAGTTTTGTTCAATTTTTTAATTAAACTCAATTTAGGGAATACTATAACGTTTTACTGGAACTATAAGAAAGTTCAATGACATATGAAAGAATTATTAGCCCTATATGTTGGAAAAGACAGCTCATCCATGAATCCTAGATATCAATTCTACTTGTTTTTATGTACTTGGAAATCATACATCTTTGCTTAAATATGATGGTTAAATTAAAAATTTCCTTAGGTAGTACAAAATCATAAAATCAAATTTAAATAACCCTGGAATTACATTATGCTTGATATCATTACCATTTAACCTATCTTAGTGAAATTGTAATTTAGTGTTATTTATAATAAGAATAGAAAAGCTTTGCTGCTTATAAGTAAGCAATTTATATAAATGTATGAAACTATTTAGAATTATGAATTTGAGGAAAAATTTTATGAAATACTAATCTAAAAATTTGTTACGAATGAACAAAAAAGCAGTTATTTCTTACTTAAATATTTTTATTAGTATGCTTATGTCTTATAGACATAGCTATTGTAGACTAATATACTATTTTTTAATTTAAATTTGAATTGAATTTAAATTGACTGAAATTTAATTGAAATTCAATTGAAATTTGATTGATTTTTGATTGAAATTTAAATTGAATTTAAATTTTATGTAAGTCCCGTTTATTCCGTCCTTGTCTCACTAAACCATTTTATCTTACTTAGCTCTTCTTCAACAATTTATGTTGCATCTGATAAAAAGTTGCATTGTGACACATTTGCTTTTAGAAAAACATCAAATTTAGTATTATATAAAGTTATCGTTAAAGTATATAATTCAGTTATTTCATAGAATTAGGGGTCGGAATAGGCTGGTCGGCAGGGCGGTGGACTCACTTTCGTGAGCTCGAATCCAGCCTTTCGACTGGTGCACGTTAAATTTGTCGGGTCACAAAGACCTCCATTTTCTATAACAAATTATACCTCTGGGGGTGCTGAATTGGAGATTGATCGTTCTGTGGTTCAGGTCAAAATTACGATCTGTGGATGAATGAATGGATGTGAGAATGGGTCAGCCGTATAAAACGGGTGTGACTTATGTGTGTGGTAGAAGTCGAATTATTGGCCATAAGATGGCGCCACTATAAAACAAGAACAATGACACCCCCTCTGCCTTATTGAGCGACGACAACAACAGCATTTCAGAAAATAACTTGGTTTTTCATGAAGTAACTAGACAAGTTAGTTAAAGTATATAATAGATAAAAAATTTCATACTTTACCTATTTATTCTATGAAATATTTAATGATGACCGTTAATTTCAAAGTTATTTTGTAAATTAATTGATCATAAATAGTTAAAATCCCCCGAAAAATGCATTTTATCCCTTTTGCGGATGATTAATTGATAAATAATAAGGAAAAGTAGGTGATATAATTTATTATTGCTTATATTAATAACTACGTTATATTAAAAGCAACGAAATGACGCGCACCTACACTCACATGTCCTTGCAAAGCAGCTTTAAGCTGTTCAAAATTGACTAAAAGCAGCTAGAACCGGTTCAAAGAACTTTCTAGTGCTGTATTTCATACTTTAACGATCAAATAATCGTTATTCTATAGAATACCTGGATAAATCGTAAAATTCAATAATTTTATATACTTTATCTGACTTGCCTGGTTATTTCATGAAATAACCAGTTATTCTATGAAATAACGGGTTTCACACTTTAACGGTAACATATATATTTATACTAAAAATATTATAATGTTATTTTTTAAAACTTATTTATTTGTATATTGCATATTTATTTATTGTACTGTGTACATGTGACGGCTATTGCCCTTTATTTTTTTCTGTAAATGGGAGAAATAATGGCGGTAGTGAGAAAAGGAAAGTGAATTTGTACAGTCGTATCAGTCAAAATGATATATACTTTGATATTTTTTTCTCTCTAATTTTACGTATGTAATGGCATTTGTTAGAAAATAATACTTTTAGAAGTAATGAATTATTTTTAAAATGATTCATAAACATATCTAGAGAATATCCGTCTTTTAATAACGGAGCCAGAATGTTTGTATCAAAATTTCTACTACACTGTTGGAATTTTCATTTTGAAATTATGGTAAAATAATCGGCAGGTTTACAGAGAAGAAAATTTTTTATCTTTACGGTTTTAAACCCGTTTACAACTAGTCCGGTTAAAAAGCCATGAATTAAAAAAAATTACGGTTTTATAACCGTTTATAACTAGCATGGTTTCAAAACCGTAGAAAAAGAGAATTAACTGGGCATTGGATAGATTTTAGCAGCTTTATGGTGCTACCATCTAGGCGTGAATGAGATTATCGTACTCTAATAGTTCAAGGATAGAATTTAGGGAGTGTAAGATACGGGAAACTATTCATGCGTTAGAGGAAATATTATGATGTCAACGCTGAAACTGGAACCCCCGATCTGCCGGTCATCAGATAAACATATTAGCCCTCTCGGCTATAATATGTATCAATCAGAAAGGAACTAAGTGGCTTCATTAGGTGATCCTAGTTGGTACGATAAAATTCTGGTTGTGAAACCATATTAGGTGAAAGCAGTTAATAAACGGTTTTTCTCACAGTGAACAGTTTGAATACCATCTTTACGGTTATTGGACTGTATCGTTTGAATATGGTAAAGTAACAATTAAATAGATTGTCATTTAACCATTTTTTTTCAAGAAATTTCTAACATTGTAGAGTGTTGGCTAAAGATAAGATTTAGACAAAACTTCCATTTGTTTCTTTATAAGTTTTGTTTTGCTTAATTCTGATCTCAAAAAAAAATTTTTTTAATTAATTATGGAGGATTTTCCCTTGCACTTATTTTCTGCTTAAATATTAAATAAGTCGTGTACAAATAAAAAATGGTTGCTACAAATCAAAGATTTAACTTATGCAACAGAGGTTCCTGTCAAATACTAAAATTGTCCTATAATAGAGAAATATTATGACATAATTAAAAAATGGTTATTTGAAAAAAATCAAACAATTATAAAAATTTTCCTTGTATTGTTTTGATATTCTGCACCAACACTGTCACAAAGAGACAACATAGCATTAATTAAGTTTAAAAAAAATTAGAAAAATCAAAATTTAAAAAAAAAATTCTGTAAGAAGAAAGAAAAGCTTTATGATAAATCATATCTCTCTTATCTTGATATTTTAAGTTAAGTTGTTTACATAGTGCTCACTTATTTGTTTATTGTTTACTAATTCGTATACAATTGTCTTCCTGCTTTAGGTTTTATTCTGAGTTCGAAATTTTATTGAAAGAAGCTAAGATTGAACGGGCAATTTGGAGGAAATATCAAGGAACAAGCAGAAGGTGATGGTATTCATACAGATCTTAAACAAGGATTTAAAAACGCATTTCAAAATTATGTATTTAAGAAACCGTGTGGGTAATTAGAAAGAGTAGAAACTTTGCTAAAAAATTGCAAAGGTATGGAAAAAGCTTTAAAAAAAAATTGGTTTACAATTTTGTCACCAGAGGGCGAATTAATGTTTAAGAAAATCTATTCTGCAAATGGAAAAGTGTGCTTTAAAAAAAATTTATTATATAAAATCTCCTGGCTCTGACTGATTGATACTAAAATAAACCATAGACGAATTAAAACAAAATAGCCACATCATGATTTCCATCAGCACAATAAGTGATTTAAAAATATAAAAAATAATATAATTCACATAGTGGGACCGTCCATGAAATACTTTATTCGGACGCATAGCCTTATCCGCATGATTCATCGCTTACAACTTTTTTGGAAATAACGTCATTTTATAAAAACAAAACTTAATTACCAATTTTACATCATCAAAAAAGTAATATAGCATTTGTAAGTTGTTTAAAAAAATGTCCCGAATATTTCTTTTATCCACTACAAGGCCTGCACTGGTACAGTTCAATTAAATTTTTAGGACTGTTAATGTTTGAAAGATAACGTGTCTTTAATTTGCTTAGTATGATACATAAAAGCGGAATTGAGACAAATTTCGAAAACAATGTTTTAAATTAAATGAGTTGAGAATGATAGCTAAAAAATTAACATATTTATACCTACAGGAATTATGATACAATTTTTTAAATATGCACGGAAATGAACCATTGCTGCTTATTTGAAAAATTAATGTAAGATTTTCTGGTAATTTGAAATTTAATTATTCAAAGTAAAGCTTATTGGATGAAAAAAATTTCCAACATTTAAAAAAGGGGAGAAACTAGTGAAAACATAATACAGTCGAAAGATTTTATAAAAATGTAATAATTTTTTTAATTATTATTGAAGTGTGGTGAAAATCAACAAACATGCTTAGCGTATGGGAAAGACAAAGCATAAAACCTTTTTTTGGGGGGAGGGCTTTACATATCATCTGTTATTACACTACAGTGCAAATGTAAATCTGAATTCTTCAAAAAAGATAATTTAAGACAATTTATAAATCTAAGGTTTAATCATTAATGAAATTGCTTTGTTTTTTACTCAGAGTACTGTTTGATATTTCTACAAAAACGTAATTTTTCTTAATAAAACCAAAGCATACAGTATTTAAATCATTAATATGCCTATTTTTCCGGTCCGTTTACCAGAAATACTGTTTTTGAAATCATAGTTCTTATTACCACACATTTTGTAAAAAATATAAAACTTGAAAGTAAATTTAACCGAATAAATAATGCCAGGCTCTAAATCATGATAAAATTACACATTTTTATTATATATTATATAACTTTAGTTAATTATTAATTTTACCGAAATCATTACCAAAATGCTTCGGTAAAAATTACCGAGCTCTTTACTGTTCCCATAGAGCTAGAAACACGGTATATTTTGAATTTTACCATATTCTGGTAGTAACATCAATCAGAAAATCGGAGTGAAAGGAAAGTAATAACGTGTGTGACTTTTCTCATTCATAAAAGTGAGAACTTTTATTGCAGCATTTAATCATTTTATTGAAATATATGGATGGCAGAAGAGCCTAAAGTACTGCAACAGACATAAATAGTACTATGAACTTAATGTAACGAAATAAAATAGTGTCACAAACTAAATTTGAAGCAAAAAATGTATATTTATTATTACTGGGAACTATTTTAATGTGCCCGGAGATCGTCGTAAACTTTGAAGATCATTTATCCTTATTTTCATAACACTATCAAGCAAAATGTCAGCTATTTTGTTAGAAATTTAACAACATATGGAAATGAAAAGTTATGAGCAAACCTCTATTTATATAAAAATTTCCTGTTAAAATTCCAAAATTTAACTAATCAGAAACGTGTTATGACTTGTATCTTTCAGTATCTGACTGGATCACCATGTAACCTTTCGGGATGTGGACCACTTCTCAAGACAGAGATATCCTTTATAATTGTATTTGTAACGTATTTAGTTTATAATCGTATTGTATTATAGTATTAGTATATTGTATTATCATATTTTGTTTTCGTTCGTATTCCACATGGAAAAAAAAAATTCTGGTAAAGTTACCTAACTGTATGGTAATAAAATTTCTGGAAATAAAACCACAATTCCGGTTAATAAAATCAAAATGTTCAGTATTTAAGCCACTCATTTGGTAACTTTTTTGTTCATATGGTGCTGATTTACCGGAAATTGTGGTTTTCAAAACCATAGTTCTTATTATCCCACATTTTATTTTTAAAAAATACAAAACTGAAAAGTAAATTTAACCGAATAGAAAAAAATTATGCCATGCTCTAAGGTATCATAATAAAATTAAAAAAAATTTAAAACATATTACGAAACCATATTTTACTATTAATTTAACCAAAATCATTATCAAAGCGCTTTGTAAAAATTTACCGAGCTTTATGGTGTACCCATAGAGGCAGAAAGACTAAATTTTACTATATTCTAGTAGTCTTGACTATAATTTTTTTCTCAACGTGGAATTATTAGAATAATCTCGTTAACATTTAGTATAGTACGAAGATAAATCCTTTGGTCTAAGTGCTAGCTTTTACCCCAAAATTCTAATTTTATTTTATAGCAACATATAGTACATAAACACCTTTTCGTCTCATGTTAGCAGTTAGAATATATCAGAATACAAAGTGACTTACATAATTGAGATAATTACAGCTGTATTGGGAAACAATTTGATTCCCCTCATAATGAAAGTGATATGCATCTATAAATACTAAATTAAGACGTCAGAAAATGTTTACAGTGACTGATTTATGACTGTACTTAATGTTGTAATTTATATATTTCATCACTCGATTCATGACTGCTCAAATGATATTTAAAAACTTTCTTCTTAAGAAAAATAATTATTAAAAGTCTCAAATTTTCCACAGGCATTTAGTAATATTTCTAATTATGTAATATATTTTAGCACTAATTGTGCGTCAATATTTACTGACAATTAAATTTTAAAAAACGTGAGCTTTTACCAGGATTATAAAATAATAATAGTTGAATTTGTATATGCTTGAAATAATAGAATTGATATAGAATTTATAAGTCCTTTATTTTTGATGTAATTTGCATATCCTTGAATTGCCACCTTAAATATGGATTGGTTTCAAAGTTCAGGGCCATTATTGTTTTCCGAAAAATATCCTCTTTGAGATGCAAGCAATTTTGTATTATTCTTCTTTACATTTTAAGAATTAGAAGATACCCTATAGAGCAAGAAATACAGAATTATAGGGAATTATTGAAGATAGAATATTATTTTAAAGAAATTATCGTAAAGAGAATTGAAAATATAGTTGTTCAAAACATTAAAAACAAATTGTTTTCATCAAAGTTATTACCAGAAACGAAAAATTCTAATGAAAACAATATTTTAATGCAATTATCTGATTTATAACGGCGTTAAGTACTTTAAATTGCATTCTAAAATTGTTATATTAAACAATTAATAAAAATATAAGAATTTGCATTACTTAAACTTTAAGGAAAATGTCACATTTTCAAATATTTATATCTCAAGATAAATTTGATCAATTTTACATTAAATTTTGAATTTTGTCATTTAAAAATAAATCGATGAAAAAGATATAAAAATTGTATTTCTTGTCTGTAAATAAATAAAATACTGAATAATTATATAAAGCAATTATGTTTTAAAAAAATAAATATTATCATTGCGTAAATTAATCTTTGATTTGGAGAAGAAATTTTTGTGCCTGATTGCGCAACTTGATTAATAATTAGCTTTAACTAATTAGAGTGTTAAAGTTTCTTTAAATCATTAAAAATGGTTTATAGAGCATGAAAACTTATTAATAAATGTGTGAAAAAGATTCAAATGATATAAAATAATTAATTGTTCTTTAAAATTACGTATACCTATTTAACAATTTTTTATCCGGTTTCCAAATGACGCTGAATTTCACATAACAAAATAAAGCAAAAACTTCTAAACTGTGTTAAATTAATTATTTAAAAAAAATTGTTATGAATTAATTTCCATTGTACAAAATTTTTTTCTTCTTTTAAAAGATAAAAATAAGGTAAAAGGCATAAATATTTAAAGAATCAATATCCACTTTTTCTTAAAAATTTTGCTTTACATCTATTTTACTTCAAAAATGTGCAGACGTACTAGCAGTTGAATTCAATACAGCTTATATATTAACCAATATGTAAATCTACTCTGTTAAGATTTTCATTCTAAAATTATTGTAAAACAACCTGCAGCAGTCTGGCCATCCAATAAACCGTAAAGATCACGGTAAAGAGCATTTTTTTTTACCTTTGCGGTTTTGAAACTGAATACAAGTATGGTTAAAAAATCATGAATACAAAACTATACGGTATTTTATGCTTTTAAAACTAACATGGTTTCAAAATGCCGGAAATGATAGGCTTTTTGTGTTAAGCATTTTTATGGTGATGTTATCTATGCGTGAATAAGAGCATCGTATTCTAATATTCCAGGGTCACAAATTGGAAATTGAAAGATAATGGAAACTCTTCACGTGCTGATGGGAATGGAAGAAACATTGTGTGTCAATACTGGGACTCGATCCCCCGTTCCGTTGGTCACGAGGTTGACAGATAAACCCTCTCCGCTGTAATATGTACCCAACTGCAAGGAATTATGTGGCTTTATTAGGTGGGCCTGGTGGGTGCAATAAAATTCTGATCGTTTAACCATATTAGGTGAAGGCAGCTAATAAACAGTACTATTAACGGTACACATAATAACAGTTTGAATACCATCTTATTTATGGCTATTTGACTGTTTTATTTGAAAACGATAAATGACAATTAATTAAATTGTTATTTAATCATTTTTTCTGAGATATTTCTTACAGTGTATTAGGGTTTCCAAATAAACTTTACCTATATCTTTAATAGAATGCATAACATTGTAACAAATAACACCTCAATAACTCCATCGAGATATTACTGTCATCCTCTAACACTTTTAGTGAATACTTTAATGAATCAATTTTGCCCATCGGATTTATA